GTTTATCTTTTTCTCTGAGAAGGTGATTACGTGTCCTGGGGTTAGAATTACTGCAGAGCCCAAATTGTTGGTTTTACAAGGCACGTTTGTGTCTCCACCGTCCCTGGGGTAGAAACAGAGGACCCGAGTAAATGGTCACTGCTGGTCCCTCGCCCCTGGAGAGTGGGCGTTCTGCGCACCATGGTATGGGGGCCGCGGCACGGTGGTCTCTGTAGGTGTCGCTTTGACTCCTTCCCCGTAGCGTGTCCCACACGAGCCTCTGCCTGCGGGGTGTTTCAGCTACATGATGGGCAGAAAGTGAGACAAGGGCATGAGCTGTCTGCTAACAAAGATGATCAAGGGAGCGTGGCTCGGCCTCCAGTCTGTTTAGACAGGTAGTTCTCTGGAGGCCCGTTAGAGTGGGGCCGGCCGTCATGAGCACTCAGCCTGATGGTGGAGGACCTGGTGTTCAGCCCTGAAGTGACAGGTCACAGTCGCACTGATCGGGGCAAATCTGCTCTCCCCAGATCATCGAGGAGGCCAAGCGATCCCTGCACGACGCCTTGTGTGTCATCCGGAACCTCATTCGTGACAACCGAGTCGTGTATGGAGGAGGAGCTGCGGAGATTTCCTGTGCCCTGGCAGTCAGCCAGGAGGCAGACAAGGTGACTGGGAAGTCTCAGCAGAGCCTGGGGAGTCAGCAGGGACAGACCTTTAGTTGGCGCTGCTTCTCAGATCCAAAACCAAACCCATTGCCATCGAATTGATTCCAACTCACAGCGATCCTACAGGACAGAGTAGAACTGCCCCGTAGGGCTTCCAGGGAGCAGCACGTGAGTTCCAGCTGCTGACCTTTTGCTCCGCAGCCGCTGCACCACCAGGGCCCCAGGTTACCATAAACTGGCGTTTCTTTTTCACCCGTTCCAGCTTCAACAGAAGTAAAGCACCTGTAGTATCTTTTAGCGTTATTTGAAGTGAGGAATAAATGAAGTACTGTAACTAAAAACGAAGCAGTGGGAGGTGCATTGTTCTCAGGCTTCTCTCACACGTATAGCCTCTCCAGTCTGCAGTGACATTTTAACATTCTGATGGGTCAGCGTGTGCCAGCACGCGTGATAAGGTTCCAGTGTGGTGACACTAACGTCCCGGTGGGTTAGAGCTCCCCGTGGGTCAGCGTGTGCCAGCGTGCACAGTTAGGTTCCAGCGTGGTGACGCTAACGGCCCGGTGGGTTAGAGCTC